TGCCATTTAAACAATGGCAAGGATATACCTAAATTTATTTGGCAGGGCAAAAAATGTAAGATACTATAAGAGGAGGATTGGGTCTACCAAATCTGAAATTATATTTTGCTTTCTGTTGTTCAGTTTGGATGAAAGAGTGGGAGGATGTTAAGAAATAGAAGGCTAATTGAGTTAGAAGGACATGATCTGAGATTTGGGTGGCATGGATATTAAGGCTAGGATAGTGTAGATTTTTAAAATCATATCAGGCGGGCCATTTTAGAGTATGGAATAAATATAAATTTGGATTCTGCATGAAAATACCGTGGGTCAGTGCAAAAGCATTTTAAAGACAAGAAAGAATAAGTAAACATAAATGGCTAACTTATTGTAATATACTAGAAATTGCTCAAGGGGATTGTAAAATAAAATCAAGAGAAAATTTGACAATAGAAAGATGTCCTTGTGGTTTCCTTATGTAAAATTATCAGAAAGATTTAAAGTGGATAAACGATTGAACAGTGTAAGAAGGAGTTTGTAATAGAATTATATACTAATGATATGATATTGCTAAAATGTATATGTCATGTATAAGCTCTTGTTGAAACTTGGGCCACAAGAAGAACAAGGGAAAGAATCTTTATACTAAAACTCTCTGCCCTGTTAACCTTTAACTGAGCAAAACAGTGATTCATAGGTCAAAATGTTTTGAACCAATGTAACTCAGTTGGATTAATTTACCGAATGCTTCTAAAACCCAGGACCCATGACTCCTGTGGAATTGAAATTCGGAAAATTTTATAAAACGTGTTATGACATCAAAATTATAGTAATACACTTTATGGCCTAATAAAACATATCCTGTGCTGATATTTGATTGTGCTATACAGTTCAAAGTGCTATTTTCAAGGCAGATACATCTCTGAATGCATCCAAAATTTTCCCGAGAAGGCAGTACATAAGAGACTCTGTCATTGTTGAAGGCATTGAGGAATCTAGTAAAAAAATACCTTTGAAAGGATAACCCTGGGGGTCATGCATTGTCTAGTATTTGAGAAAATGAGCTAAAAATGCTGGTTATAACAGACAAATGGAACAATGGGAAATTATGGGACTAAAAGGATTTATATTAAGTTTGATCCTTAAAGAGAATTTTTATAAAATGATGTATTATTTTAATCTCCAAATTGCCTTGATCTTAGCTTCTAACCTCATCTTCCTCAGGGGTGTGTGTGTGTGTGTGTGTGTGTGTGTTTTGTACTGCTGTTATTTTTTATCATGTAGATAAGCCTCTCCGGGATTACAGCAATTACAGCATATACCAGTTCATTGGTTTGAGTTATATGATAGTACAGGTTGTCATGAGGGCTCTATTGGCATCTTCTAGCATACTGATGATATCTCTACTGAGCCTTGGTAACTAGTCTTGAGGGTTAACTGTAGCTAGTTTATCCATGATCCCATGCCACATATCCGCAACTATGCTCTGAAATGGGTTTTAGTGACATTCCAGCTTTATGTGTTGGCTTCACATCCACTTGTTCTTTGGGGTCTTCTTGAGTCTAGGATGTAATGTGCAGTTGTTCTGTCTCAGCTTGTGAGAACAGCTTCATCTTCACTATGTTGAAGCATTGGACAACTAGCTGTTTCTCAGAGATGCAGCCTTCTGTCCATCTATAGTTTCCTCATATGTTTCCTATGTCGCCTCTCATTAGATCTGATGTTGTGATAGCATTCCATCAATTCCAGGTGCTTTTGTCTTGACCATGTATGGTTTGTTCCAGTAGCCCACTTATCATAAGATTGATCTGGTTCCCCAACATCTGATTCAGATCTTGTTAATCTGGGTAACATCCAAACTGTCGTGACTCTTCTACTATATGTCATTTTCATAATTTGAGGTAGGCATGTGAAAATTAGGAGGTCTTTGTGGAAGGATCCCTACTAATAGGGAAGCTATCAACTGAATTTGAATCCTGGTTTCCTGAGTCAAAGGCAATGTTCTAGCACCCACGTTACCAACCGTGTGTGTGTGTGTGTGTGTGAGAGAGAGAGAGAGAGAGAGAGAGAGAGAGAGAGAGAGAGAGAGAGAGAGAGAGAGAGATATGGGAGGGATGCTTTGACAAGTGGACAGAAAATAATCCGTGGGACTACTCATACTCTACCAACCACATATGGAATTTTATTGAAATAGTGTGCAACCAATTCTTCTCCAGCACTGTGAACAGCTCCCAAGTACTAAGCAGTGATGTCTTTCCCTTAGCTTTTTTACTCCTGCAACTGGATGAGAAAAAAAAACAGCAAAGCAAAATCATTTAATTACATATGTCTTCTTGCATAATTGTTATTTTAGGTGGTAGTGGAGAGAGAAGGGTTAAGGTTAGCCAAATAACACACTACTACCAGATTTTTAGTACATTGCTGATTCTCTTGTCTGGGGATGCACAATTCTGAATGACCTCTAGATTTCTCTGTATCTTGATGCTGTCATCTGTTTATCTTGATTTGTGCAGTTCAGATCAGGTAATGCTACTTCTGTCATCCTCTTTGATTTGAAGTTGGTGCAAGAAAAAAATGATATACACACTTCTAAAGTAAAATATGTTAGGGTACACTGTAATGGGCAGAGGAATAATGTTGAGGAATAGTATGAAGAGCTGCTACCAAGACAATACCGAGACAAAAGAAATTTGAGTCTAAGCTAGAACTGTAATCCAAGTAAGCATCTCAGACAAGTCCCTCCTTAATTGTCATGAAGATAAAGGAAGGAGAGGGGGGGACACACATTTCGACTTGCAAGATTCCATTACTGTAAAAAAAAGTAATATTAGCAATCATGATTTTGGTTTCTGTCAGGCCCCAAGAATAAAAAATATGACCTGTACAGTTATTTAAGAGTATTTTCCTTTATTGTTCTATAGACAGAATCTTGCCAGACTAAAGCAGCTATTTACATAACTGCAGATATATTCTGGGAACAGCTAGGAAGGAACTGTTTTAATCTTCTTCATGTGGACCAAACTTTCCAAGCTCCGCTGCCTCTTTGCCCTTTGATTTTTTTTTCATTGCACTTTTGATGCCTGTTGCAAGAAAGGAAAAAAAACAAATTCAAATGCAACTGTTTCAAATAAAACACTGCCAAGCATTTCATGCCTCAATAAACAAAACTTGAGTGCTCAGGTTAAAGTGTCTGGGGCAGATTTCTTTGTCATGTTTGTTGATCATCTTAATAACAAATGATGATATTTTACAGTTAAAGAGAGAATGGTATAATTGACCATTTATGCTAAGGCAACCATGTTAATTAATTTGTGATAGTAGTATGACAAGGGCTAGGAATTAGGCAGCATACAGGTAGTCCTTGACTTAGAACCACTCATTTAGTGATTATTGGAAGTTACAATAGCACTGAAAAAACTGAGTTATGACAAGCCCTCACACTGATAATCATTGCAGCATCCCTGGGGTCATGTGATCAAAATTCAGGCACTTGACAACCAGCATGTATTTAGGACTTTTATCCTCTATTTCTGATCAAAAGCATGGGACTTCTAACAGTATTTTAAGGCTGTATTTCTGTAAACAAAGAGATGAAAGTTTGCCTGCAAAATATTTGCTCTGTTTCTCTGTGATTTAAAGGTGCAATTCAAAGCAGGAACTCTAATAGAGAAAGAAAGAAAGAAAATTACCTAGCCTGCATTTTGCATTATTTGCTTCCTTTCTCTTGCGCCTTTCCTCTGATCTACAAGCCTTCCGGTGGATGATGACTGTGTACCAGTTAAAATACTAATGTTGCAAATTGTTAGCCTGCACTGTCAGGGATTGAATACTAAAGAAGAATCCAAGTCAAAGTCAGCTTGGCATCCTTCTCCTCCCTTTAAGAATCTTTCCTTAGGACAAATGAGATAATTGACTCCATAGGAGTCTGCTTCAAGTCTCTGTAAAGCAGAGATTCAGATCTCCTAAAAAAAATCTGCACAAAAGTCCACATTCTAGACAAACAGAGGGTGCACGACACCACCTATTTCCTCTCTACAACACAGTCCTTTCAGCAGTCCCCAAGAAGGTTCCAGATGAACCTGAAGGTACAGATAAACCCCCAAATGACCTCAGCAATTCTCAGAAAGAGTGCTAACAACCAGATGGCTGCAAGGAATATACGGTAAATCCTTCCTTTCCCCACCATTCAGTCAGAACTGAAGAAACTTCTTGGATGAGAAGCAAAACGTCTTAAAGGAAAAACAAGAAAGTCCAGTTGTCTCTTGAAAAAGCACTTTTGGGATAACCATGACCTGCTGTGACTGTCAGTTGCCAAGCGCCTGAATTGCAATCACGGAGACATTGCAGTGGCTGCAACTACAAGGACTAATCATAAGTCTCTTTATTCAGTGCCAACATAACTTTGAATGGCCACTGAATTTAATTATTAGGTGATTTACTCATTAAGTTTAATTTAAATTGTTAAGTGGGGACTATCTACACTGTGGAATTATAGGGATTCTGTATTTTGTTGGTTGCTTTAATCTGATTTGGGAAGATGGTAATAGTATGGCTCTTAAGAGTTGATTCTGATGGAAGCAGACTATAACCCTTGTAACATAATTAAAAGAATAAATAAATACCTTGAGAGTGGGCCTCAATCTAAACTAAAACGTGAACCACGGTTGCAAAGCATGTAGACACTTATTTACCGATATTACATATCCAGTAATCCATGTAATGATAATTCAAACAATCTACTTACTTTTTCTATAAGCTCTTATTACTCACTTTGTAGAACAAGTTATCTTGAGTGCAATGGTTTCTTGATCACTATGGAAAATAACTGCAGCGAGGTGTCAAGATTTGATGGTGCCTGTTTACAAACTTGGAGGACAATTATACTCCCTTGTCTAATAGCTTCTCTTATTGATGCTGTGCTGACATGTTTTTAAACAGTATTTGGTGATTGTAAATACTTAATGGCACCAATTCCCTACTCATTATCATATGTTTGCATATGATTTTTCTGATTGATGCAGGTGGAAACAATAGGCGATGCATACTGTGTGGCGGCCGGACTCCACAGGCAGAACCTGAATCATGCAAAGCCAATTGCCCTGATGGCCCTGAAGATGATGGAGCTGTCAGAGGAGGTGCTCACACCCGATGGAAGACCAATTAAGGTATCTTCTTTTCTATATATTTGCAGCAGTTTAATGAATGAAAAGAGCAGCCTATGCTTGCTAATATAGTGCACAATGTGTCTAAAATTGCAGTCTTGGTAGAAGAGGTGAGTGGTAGACTAGAGGCAGAGTGTGATTGTCCAAAGTAATATCCCACTTAATTAGTTATTCAAGCATTGGTAAAGCATTGTGGGCTTCTGATTGTCTGCTGTGGAAGTAGCCGGAGTCCATATACTGTCTTAACTTCCTAGACCCATTATCCTTAGGCAACATGTAGCTTCTCAGTTATTTTTTGTTTGGTAATTGGACACCTCTGAGATTCAGATCTTCAGAAGCAAATTATCAGATAAACAGGACTCTGATTTTCCCATTGTATGTACATTTATGGAGTAGTTACGACCCCGGGCTAGAAACCAGGACACTGTGAGTTCTAGTCCCACCTCAGGCATGAAAGTCACCTGGGTGACTTTGGGCCAGTCACACTCTCTCAGCCCAACTCATCTCACAGGGTTGATGTTGTGGAGAAAATAGGAAAAGGAAGCAGTATTAGGTATGTTTGTTGCCTTGAGTTATCTATAAAAATAATAAGGACAGGATAAAAAAATTGAAAGAGGGCATCAAACCTGCAATAAACTTAATGCACTTAGTTTACTTCAAGTTCGTTGCATCTCAAAAATGGAAGAGAAATGACCAAAATTCTGGCAAGCTTTAGGACTGATGTCTCTGGTTAAAGATCTGTTGCTTCATATGCAATCTTACATGAGAAATGAGTACTTCAAATTTATGTTGGAAACATAAACAGCATGAACGGTTCTTTTGGCATAACTGGTGGATTTGTAAAAAACAAAAAATGTCTGGGTTGAGATGCAAAGAATTTTAAAGATCAATATTTAATTCAAATCAGAATTTTTCTTGCTGGGATTAATGGGAAGTCTATTAGAAAAGAGACAGGGAAGTGTTTTTTTTAAAATACATGATTACTCTTATGACATTATAATGTGCAAAATGGAAAGACTCTGAAATACCCACAATGAAGAATGGTTGGTGAGGTTGACAGAACTAGCAGAAATGGCAAGATAAACCTGTTTGATTAGAGAAAGATCAACAGCTATATTTATTAATGACTGAAAACCCCTTGTATTTTTTTTTGCTGAAAAAAAGAGAAAAATGGACTTGTGATTTATGAATTTGAAGATTAGAAAGGGTAGCTTATGGAAAGAAGAACATTATGATGTAACCATAGAGAGAAAGGGCAAAGTAAAAATTTATAACTGCCGGCACAAAGATCAGAAGCTGATTCTTTATAATGTTACTTTTTATTTTTCTTTCTTCTTTTCTATTTCCTTTTCTGTTTTATTTTTTCCATAGTTTACTATTCTTTCCTTTTATTTATTTCTCTTAGTTTTTACTTTGTTAAAATTTCTTTAATACAAATTATAATAAAAGAAATATAAGCAACTGGCCCACATTTATGGCTGTTTGCAACATCCCATAGTCATGTGATTGTGATTTACAGCCGCATTTATTTCCAATTTTTGAAAAAAATGCCCCATAGTGAACAATAGGTTCACTTAATGACTGCCACAAAAAAAATAGTAAAAATAGGTCTGGTCTTGTCATGACCTGCTTTATGACCATCATGAGTTATGACTGCAATGAGCAGGCTCCATTAAGGTTGTAAATCGAGGACTGACTATAGTTGAAAATTGCTTAATGGCATAATTTTTTTTTCATTAGATTGCAGTATTTGATTTTGAAAGTATTGGCACTTTTGTCTTGCGGGAAATGTCTTTTTAAAAAAGTGTTTCTAAACACATAGTAAGGTTTTCAAACATATAATTTCTTTCCCACATAAACAGTCTTTCTAGCATTCTTCATATATAAGGGAAAGCTGCTGTTTAGTGCTCATTCAAATGCATCTCCTAGAAAGGTTTGTAATAAAGATAAAAAGTGAACATGCAGTTGTTTACCTCTTTTCCCCAAGCTTTTGATATTTTGGATTTTAGCAACAGTGGCAGTAACAAAGATATGGAATTCCAATATATACACATATTTTCACAGTGTGTGATTGTCGATGCTAAAAACATCCTCATCCATATTTAGTTAACAGTTTGCTCATGATGACTCTCAGTATCAGTGAAACTATGTACTCAGATTTATATCACCATTAGCTGCACACGCAGACAAGGTTACTTTTACACATGGATGATTTCCTTTGCTAGTTGTCTTTAGGGACCTAATTTTTCATAACTGCGTAAGGTAAAATTGCTTGCCTCTGACATCTAGTAATGAAATTCTGTGTTGTACTGTAAAAATAATTTGATTGTTAAGATCCCATTGTTTGCTGATTTTTGTCAGGGAATTGCCTAAAACATTAAAATGTCTTTTAGTTGTTCTTATCTATAACACTAGTATAAATTATGATGCTAGTATTACTATTAGTTCAGGATGGTTGGTAATGTTATTTGAGAAGATTTCAAGAGCTGGCCCTTATTAATTTTTTTTATTTTTAAAATTCAGTTTATGTGTTCTTTTATGTCAGTCTCCTTTAATGTTAAGTTTTCAGCTGACATTACATTTCCTTTAGCATTGCTCAAGAATGCATCAAGATGCTATTTAGGCTACGCAAACCTTTAAAATTCCCACTAAAAATGTTGAGGTAAATTTAAATAGGTGATATGACAAATGCTTACACTTTGGCTGTTTTCTTTGTTCTTTAGCAAAATATGGAATACTGAAAGGCAGAGTTAATGCTGCAGTAGAAATTCCCTAAACATTGGCCTTTGTTTATTATATTCTCCAAAATTAAAGGTATTTTGGGCTACTCTTTTCTAACCCGCTTAAAAGATGGCATCAAGAATTAATATTAGCACATGGCCTTTGCCTATGTAGAAGTTATCCCCTACCACTTTCAGGCAACACAGAAATTTTCCCTGGCCACTTACAGTGATGCTATAGCAAAAGGTACTTACACTCTGAGTTTCTGTGAACTGTATTTAAGATAGTGTTGAAGCTTGGGTCATTATGTGAGAACCCATCTGGAGAGTATAAACTGTCAATATCTACCGCTCTATTGTTGCTATTGGGGGGCGTGATGGCTCAGCAGTTAAAGACACTGAGCTTGTCAGCTGGGTTTGAGACCCGAATACCGCATGACGGGGTTGAGCGCCTGTTATTTGCCCCAGCTCCTGCCAACCTAGCAGTTCGAAAGCATGCAAATACAAGTACATAAATAGGTATCACTTCGGTGGGAATATTGTCATGCCGCATGACCTGGGAAATGTCTTTGGACAACACTGGCTCCCTCGGCTAAGAAATGGAGTTGAGCACCACTTCCTAGACTTAGATACAATTGGTTCGGGGAAACATTTAACTTTTATTCTGGCTATCAGTATGGTGGAAATGTTATAAGACACGGGTGTCAAACTCGCAACGTCACATGACGTGTCGTGACGTATCGCGACTTTTTCTCCATTGCCGGCAATGGGGTGGGCGCAGTTTCAGCATGACGCATCCAACCCGTGGGCCGACAGTTTGACACCCCTGTTATAAGAGAACTTCAGCACATGCAGATACAGCATCAGAATTAGAGTATGTGGGGTTTTTTAAATTGTAGAAATGTTAAAGAGGAAAAGAGAAGGAGGGATCTTGGTATTAGTTTAGGGAAGGATACTTGATAGCCAGAAAATTTCCTAAGGAAACTTTGAAACAAGACTATCCCTCTTCTATCTTGTGATATTGATTTTCTGAGAAAAGTAGTTCCCTGTGCAGCTTATGAAAGCTTTCTCCTTTCAGTTTCCCAGAGATGGACTTGGATATGGAGCTACAAGGTAACTTTAGTTTATGATAAATTCATGCCTAAAGGTGAAAATATAAGTCAACTCTTTATAAAGCATTGTAGTGAAAAAAAGAGCCAATTTGATGTAGTGGTTAAGAAACTGGAAGAGGATGAATTCTAGTCTCTCAGCTCTAGGAAGCAGGCAATAGCAAAAAGCACTTCTGCAATCTTGCCAAGAATTCTGGAGGGACTTGTCCAGCCAGTTGCCCAGAAAAAGAAAACAATATTTGCATTAAGGTTCCTGACTATTCCAGTGATCAGTATGTATCATAAATAAAAGCAGAGGTGGCCCTTCAGGTGTGCCATTCCAATTTTTCTGGAACATTGTCTCAGTCTTTAATCAAGACTGTCCAATCATTTATGAGGCACTCCCTGCTTTCATCAGTAATGACTCTTTGAAATTAAATGGAGACCTTTTTATTGGAGGCTTGAGGAGCAGATCTAGACTTTTGACTTTTTGACAGTACATAGGCTGGGCTTCAAATTATGAGTCTTCCAATATAGGAAGGAAAAAAATATTTGAAAATTTGGAGAGAAAGAAGTTTTTCTCCTTCTCTCACAGTTTTGAAAGTTGCCACTATTCACTTAAATTAAGAGGATTCAGGAGTGGCAGATTTACTGTAAATAGCTTTGTAAAATGAAACTGAAGCATTCTTGCTAACCAATTGCAAGAATGGTAGTCGGTTTGAATGGCTTTCAGGGGAGGCTCTGTTCACAGAGAATCAAATTTTCAGTGGCTACTTGTACTACCGTAATGGCTGTCTACTAGCTTCTGAATCATAGGCAGCATGATATGTTTACTGGGAAGGGACAGTGGAAAGAGACAGGCTGGGCTTGTGAGCTTCTCAAATCCATTCAATTGGCTACTGTGCCTAGATGACCTTTGGCATGATCCAGCCTTGGGGCGGTGCTTAAATTCTTCTCACATAGCACTTCCAAACCACTTACGATTCATGTCTACTAAATTGCTGTAGCTGTCTTGATTCCAGATATGAGTGAATTCTCTGTACAGAGTGCATTCCAAAGCTCTGACCTTAGCAGTAGTTATCATTCACGCTCCAAATCTTAGGCACTGTGTCAATGTCTCTTGCTAATGTTTGTGCTGATTAGAGAGAACATAGACCAAATATCTAGCAGGACAAACAGTTTCTCTTGTCTTCTA